TCTGGCAAGTCTGTAGCTTCAACCACTGCGTCCTGCCTGTCCCAGGTGACCACACGGGCGCTGCATAGTTTAGAACCGGCTTTGCCCAAAGTGCTGCTGGCCAGCGACTTTGGACCTTTTTGCGGCTCTGTACTCTGTTGACAATTGCGGTTTTATGCGCCGAGAAGGAGAGCAGACTGTCGAAGGTGACTCCGAGGATTTTCGGGTTATTCACCGTCGGTATTGTTACGCCATCAACGTGAATAGCCAGTTGCAGTCTGGCCTCCTTCGTCCAGGTGGTGAAGGTTGCCGAGGATTTCGCAGGGGATAGGGCAANATTATTCACCGTCGGTATTGTTACCACAAGTCATCAATTCCCTTCCCAGACGCCATGATCGAACAATCGTCANGCCAGTTGCAGTCTGGCCTCCTTCGTCCAGGTGGTGAAGGTTGCCGAGGATTTCGCAGGGGATAGGGCAAGGCTCCTTGCAGTGAAGTAGGGAGAAAGTTCGGCGAGATAACCGTTTATTTTCGACCACAAGTCATCAATTCCCTTCCCAGACGCCATGATCGAACAATCGTCAGCATAACAGACAATATTGACACCTTCTGGTGGTTGAAGGAGCTTTGAGGTATAATAATTAAACAGTAATGGGGACAGGACACCACCCTGTGGTACCCTCTGTTTAATTTTTCGTAGCTTGCTGGTTTTGTCTCTAAAAACTACTGACGAGTGTCGGAACACTCAGGTAACTCGTCGACCACCGTTTGAGTCCCTGTGGGAGTGAGGAGGCATCTATGTCTTCTAGCAGCATTGAATGACTGACAGTGTCGAACGCCTTGGACAGATCCAACGCAACTAGAATAGTTCTCTCAAAGGGGCGGTTTCGGTTAAGGCCACGAGTTATCTGAGTGTTTATGGCGTTCAGTGCTGTTGTTCTGCTGTGCACTTTACGGAACCCATGCTGATGCTTCGCTGGGGTCAGGTGGTTCGTGAAATACGGGAGTAGCAAGGCCTCTAGTGGCTTCACTACCGCAGAAAGGGGGGTTATCGGGCGATAAGGCTTCTGTGATGGCTGGTTTCCCCGGTTTGAGCAGTGGGACCACTCTCCCCATCTTACAGATGTCTGGAATGACGAGAGTGGCCATTGACAAATTGAGGATCTCCGTTAGTTACGCTACTCCAGCAGGACCCAAATTTTTCAGCATCAGCATGCTTATTCCGTCGGGTCCAATAGCTTTGGAGGCTTTCGCCTTCCCGATGGCTACCCTTACCTTACCGCTGATGAAAACAAGAGGCGCAGTGGGTTTTGGCATTTTGTGCAGCCTTCTGGCCACTCGACGTTTGGCTTTATCTACCGGAGAATGCCGAATTAACTGCCGGCTAAAATAGCTCGCGCATCTCTCCGGGTCCGACAAAGCGAGGCCACGAAAGTTCAACTCTGTCGTCACGCTTCGCCGGGTTGCACAATGACTTCACGGTTGACCAAATCTTACTCACACCAGAGGCGAAGTTGCAGGTCTTCAGATGCTCTTCCCATTTCTTCCGCTTATGTAGGTTCACAAGTTGCCGAATCTCCGAATTGAGATCCCTGATCGGCCTGACGAAGGTTGTCACGCTCATCGGCTAGAACAGCCGCTTCAGCAGGAAAGTTCGGACGCGAATTCGTAATACATCCTGCTGGGATGAAGCGAGCTGCAGCAGCCGTGATAACCCTGCGAAATTTACGTTCACCTATGCGAACGTCGGTTCCCAGCAAACACAGTCTCTAACGTTAGAGAAATTTGGATTTCAACATTAGATAACTAGGGTAATTATCTAATCGTTCTCGAGTCGGTGACGAAGTTAGATAATTATATTAGAATTCGATTCGAGAACGATTAGAGCAACAACGCAAATTCAAATAAATGTAAATTAGCAATATTCCAAATGAATTACTCATAAATTATTTTTAAGTTCAAATAATTCATTATTATTTTATTGCAAATACATTTAATACAAATTTTACAAATAAAGCAAGGCAAAACAGCAGTTTGGAATTCACACTCGCATCCCATTAGCGATCAACATTGGAATACGATTAGAGAATCAATATTTTCTCGAGTCGAGAACTATGTCCCATTTTTGGTGAGATCGCTATGATTCTCGATAGTTTTTCGAGTCGTTCTCTAACGTTTGAGATTGGAGAATGTGGNAATGATGCGAGCTGCAGCAGCCGTGATAACCCTGCGAAATTTACGTTCACCTATGCGAACGTCGGTTCCCAGCAAACGCAGTCTCTAACGTTAGAGAAATTTGGATTTCTACATTAGATAACTAGGGTAATTATCTAATCGTTCTCGAGTCGGTGACGAAGTTAGATAATTATATTAGAATTCGATTCGAGAACGATTAGAGCAACAACGCAAATTCAAATAAATGTAAATTAGCAATATTCCAAATGAATTACTCATAAATTATTTTTAAGTTCAAATAATTCATTATTATTTTATTGCAAATACATTTAATACAAATTTTACAAACAAAGCAAGGCAAAACAGCAGTTTGGAATTCACACTCGCATCCCATTAGCGATCAACATTGGAATACGATTAGAGAATCAATATTTTCTCGAGTCGAGAACTATGTCCCATTTTTGGTGAGATCGCTATGATTCTCGATAGTTTTGCGAGTCGTTCTCTAACGTTTGAGATTGGAGAATGTGGCTAGTCCTCCAATCATTCTCTAATCGATAACTAACCTCAAGGTTTGCCGGGTTGGTATGGGTAGTGCAGTGAAGGCGCTTTCAGTAAAATCGAAGCCTTTCCAGTCAGCTTTGGAAAAGTTGACATAGGTCCGGTGGTGCGCGGAAGCAAGGTCGGCAGGTTTATCAATCGAGATGACTAGGGGCAGATGGTCTGGTGCTAGGCGCCATGATACGCTGTTTATCAGACCAGCGCTGACAATTGTTANTCCGGGTTGGTATGGATAGTGCAGTGAAGGCGCTTTCAGTAACATCGAAGCCTTTCCAGTCAGCTTTGGAAAAGTTGACATAGGTCCGGTGGTCCGCGGAAGCAAGGTCGGCAGGTTTATCAATCGAGATGACTAGGGGCAGATGGTCTGTTGCTAGGCGCCATGATACGCTGTTTATCAGACCAGCGCTGACAATTGTTAGATCTGACGAGCCCATAATCGTGGTGGGTGCGTCGTCGTTCATTGTGCAGAATGTCGAATCGTCTATCTGCTCAGCCAGATGTATTCCCCTACAATCATTTGACAGGCTTGAGTGCCAAAGATCGTAACGTATAGAATAACGTTGACAACGCCTAGCGCTGCTTGTTTAATGTCTGGTTGTCACTATATCAATTATATGATATTTTATAAGTAAATATATTTGGTTTAAATCTTAAGTTTTTATATGTTGAAAGTTTATTATTGAGTGTGTGAATCGGTAACAAAGTTATATGGGGAAAGCTGTTGAATAATATTTTTACTATGGTGAGACAGTTTTGCCAATCTGCTGTGTGAAATGAAATCTTTTTTGACAGCAGTAAATTTTTGATAACCGCAGATTTAGTCGGAATAAAGTATTGCAAATTGAAGTGAAATTAATAGTTTAAGAAAACATCTACCATCACTGATAGCATTTCATCAATTCAAGCTTTTGTTTTACGAAAAATTACACACAGCAACAATCTTTGCGATTGTCAAAATTTTCTATGCATTTGTCAAAAATTTCACTAGCCTCATCAGCTACTGAAATTTTATTCACCTCATAGTTGTCAAAAATTTACTTGTCGCAAACTTTGTTACCGATTCACACACACCCTGAATAATCAAAAATTTTCTTTTTGATAACAAATTCATTGAACCATAAATTGATCATCAAGAATTTAAACAAGTATAAAAACATATAGGTAAAATACCCTACAGTCACTACCTCTCACTTAAGAATCATAATCAACGTTTTCGGAGTCATTCATATAACTTGTGATCGATAAAGCAGTCGTATTTAACCGACGCTTTTACCTCCGGTTTGTGTTAACCGAACATAGAACCAACGGCCCTCAATGAACTCGCTGGTCAAAGCCTCTTCTCACTTTAACGTTTTTTGAATCTCTTTTTTTTAACTATTTTAACTTACGTATTTAATTTAATTTTTACTAAAGGAAATTTGCATATACTTTCCCCTGTATAGGTCTCGGCGTTTATGAGTATCGATTATGCGCTCATAGGAAATAACGCTAGCGTTCTAATCTCACCATTTTCAAAACATGGCTCATTAATAACGGTTTGTAATAAAATTAAAAAGCATACATTGAGGAATGTAGATGAATACGTCGTCATGTTGTTAGCTTGTGAACTACTCAGCATCATTGATCATCTACACTCAATTAATATAATACATGCAGACATTAAAGCAGATAATTTTATATTGATGAAGAAGTAAGTTTTGCTTGATTTTAACTGTACAGATAGTCCATTGATGTTCGTTGCTTAAATACTTCTTTATTTTGCGACTTTCAGTTTAGATTACCGCAGTAGTCAGTATTCTTTACAACTAATCGACTTTGGCGTATCAATAGATATGAAGTTATTTGAGCGCGGGCAGACCTTCAATTACGTCCACAATGAAAATGCCTTCAAGTGTGTGGAAATGCGTGAAGGACGCCCGTGGACGTACCAATTGGACTTATATGGCTTGGCAGGTGTCATTCACGTCATGCTCTTCGGTAAATTCATGGATATTGCACAACGTGCCAATGGCATCTGGATGCATAAGACGCATGTGCCACGCTACATTAATCGCAACCTATGGGATTCAATATTTCAGTCTCTACTAAATATACGGGACTGTGGGTCGATGCCAAATTTACAAAATCTGCGTGCACTTATTAAGGAAGACATAGCGGAGAAGGAAAAGTTCGTACTGAGGAAGGTGGCCGAGTTCAATGCAGCGTTAAGTGCATGAAACTACGAAAATTTATTGATTTCCCAATGAAATATGCAGCAAGTAATTTTGTATTTCACATAATAAATTATAAGATTTTACTATACACAATTTTTCACGCTGCAGTTTTCGCATCTCCTCAGCATTAAAGCTAGTGCATTTGAGCGATTCAACTTTGTTTGATGAGCCTGATTGCGTGTATTCAATATTTTCTTTTCAGCAGCGCACATCAAACGGTCTTTGATATAGCGGTCCATTTCAAAGTCGCCCTCTTGTGGTACAATCTCATCCGGATGCTTAGTGGAGGCTGAATCAAGTGCTTTTATGATAAGACTCAGCAAGGCATGTGCCAATTTGTGACACACTTCGTACTCCATCGCTTCGGGTGTGGTGTAATAAATGGCATTTTGGTTAGTGGGTTGTACTCCGATGGCCAACAGAATATTGCAGAATATGCCGCGTTGCATACGCGAATAAGGCTCAACCAGCTGTGGTGGTATCTGCATTGTGGTAGCCAACTTCGCAATGAAGTTTGAAAATTTCTTAATCAACACGTTTAGATATTGCGTGCGACATTGGCGTTCCAGCTTGGTGAGCATCTCATAGTAAAGCTCCTGTTTGCGTTTGTGGAGATCCTCTAGTTTACGCTCCTTACATTTTTGATTCTTAATAATCTGTTCTAATTGTCTTAAAAATATCGCAGAAGAGTTAAGTAGAGAATTTATATGATTTGCATATTGATTATTATAGCTTTTATAAAAATAATACTAGTAATACAACTCATATTCTTTACTTACTCCGTAGATATTGCATTATATTTACGCGCTAATCGTTTGACACGCTGGCGTCTCTCCTTGGGCGTCAACACTTTTCCATACCCAACATAACTGTCAACAATGTGGCGTTTCTGCGTTGCGGCAATTCGATCGGTACGCGGCCGAACACTGAGCGGCGGTGAGGGTTTATATGCCATGCGCGCCACATAGGTTTTTAGTTTTACCATATTTTCGTGCTCTTCTTTCTTGTCCTCCAACATTTCTTCTTCCTCGGGTTCAATTGTGGACGAAGAAGGTAAAGGCTCATCCCAATCATCAACTCCTTCGCTAGCCATGGTTATATTTCACCGCCAAGATGTTAGAACAAAAAATTTTGTTAACTGAAAAATTTGTAAAATGCTTGTATGCCCACAAAATTCTACCCACAGGCAAAAAGTTTCATAATTTTCTGAAAAATTTATTTCAATGTTTGTTAAATTTTATGCATAGCCAACTTTCAGGCACTTCAAATATTTCAGCTGGATTTGGCGAGTAGCTTTGCTTGTACGGAACGTGCCAAGTGTCCTGAACTTGATGTGCGCAAAGTACATGGCGTGTTGGTTCCTGCAATTATTGAAGCTGCACAGTTAAATCTTCATTCTATTGCCACATTTTGCCCATTTTTTACCTTCACTATGATCTTTCCATTCTCGATTTGTGTAATTAACGCATATTGATGCTCCAGCTGCCAGCGCCGAAAGATTGTACGCAACTCGCTTCCTAGTAAAAATGCATGCGAGCGCATTAGGTCACGCGAGAAAAAGTCGGTTGTCTGACCGCTTTTTAAAGTGGCGTACAAAAGAAAAGGATCGTCATGAGAACTATTTTTTGTATCCAAATGTAAGATTATTACTTAACTCATATGCATTTCCAAAACTACTCACAGATTATTCGTTAGGAATAGGCTTGCATTTTTTCGTATATAAAGCATTGCATCTTTAGGCCAGCTATTCATATGCTTGCGACCCAGTACGAGTACATGCTTACGTTGATTTTTGAAATGTTTTACTACATTAGCTAGCTAAAGTACAAATATAAATATGTATGTAGTTAATAAATTTAAAAACACCAAAAACAAAGCTTACCAATGAGGCTAGTACTTTTGGCGGTTTTTTTGCACCCATTGAGTAGGCCACGTTTAGTCCGTCGATAACACAATCGTATGGCGCTGTTTGCGTAACAAAGCGCTTGAAACTTTCTACCTCCTCGGGTGTTGATTTCTGGAAGATATCGTTGCGTATGAGTACCTTATTTAAAAAGGAATTACTCAACTTGGCGTACTCTGCATCGCTAATGGCAATATTCCTCATTCGCAGGCTACAAATGCCACACTTTCCTTTTTTGTCTATTTGGGAACATTTGGCAGTAAGTTCTTTAGGATTTATGTTTTCTGTTACATATTGCGCCACTTTGGCGGTTATAATAAGCTCGTGTTTCTCCAGGAACCATAACAATTTCTCAAAATTATTTTCAAAGTTTGCTTGTATCTTGGCTATATGCTGCAAATATGCTAAATACGATTCGCATTTAGGTTCCTTTCGCTGCATTACAGTTTCCTCGAGTAGGTGCCAACCAGTTTCTAAATCTCCCTTTGTAAAAGCCTTTATCGTTAGCTCAGTGTAAGCAGCGGTACTTGGCGTAGCTGTTTGCCGCGTCATACGTAGAAGTTCTACACCGGCGCGCCAATCATTTGTACATACCAATCCATATATTAAATTTTCACACGTTGTGGCATCTAAGATTTCATAACGCTCTCGTAGCTGGGAATAAATATCTAAAATATACTGCTGTTCATCCGCGGTTAGTGCTGTATCATTTCCGCCTCTCGTATGGTATGCAGCATTGTAAATCCGCAATAGACGTCCTATTGTTGCCATGTTAGGTTCCAATCCACATCCACGTAAATACCGCACGTAGTTTTTAGCCAGTGAGAGTTGATCTGCCCCGCCGCACAAACCAAGTATTATGGCATCTACATTGTTGATATTTATGTGCTTGTACTTGGAAATCAAATTATTTCGCAAGTCCTCCCATTCGCAGGCCTTTAGTTCGCTTCTTTGCTGAAACAATTCTGTTTTAAAGCTCTGCAAGTGGTCTGAATGTGGAACACTCAACTGGGTGCGTTTGTAGGAACTAGCTTTCCTTGATAAGGTATTGACATCTTCTAGAACGGCAGATAATCGAAATAAGATTGCACTCTTACGGCATATTTTAAAATAAAACATTGTATTTAAATAAATAACCAGCTACTAAAATATAGAACTGTCAGGGTATGAAAATGAAGGAAATAGAATTAGAAACTATCGATGGCACTATGGTTTTTGACTATCGAATACATCGATGGTTTTGTAAACACTATCGATAGTTTTCACTAAGCATACAGGCGCGTATTCATAGTCCAGCAACTAAGTCGAAACTAACAAAGTTGCAACTTAAATTTAAGTACCAACTTAAAATTTACTTCTATTCATAGGCGCGTATTCATAGTCCAGCAACTAAGTCGAAACTAACAAAGTTGCAACTTAAATTTAAGTACCAACTTAAAATTTACTTCTATTCATAGGCGCGTATTCATAGTCCAGCAACTAAGTCGAAACTAACAAAGTTGCAACTTAAATTTAAGTACCAACTTAAAATTTACTTCTATTCATAGTCGCGTATTCATAGTCCAGCAACTAAGTCGAAACTAACAAAGTTGCAACTTAAATTTAAGTACCAACTTAAAATTTACTTCTATTCATAGTCGCGTATTCATAGTCCAGCAACTAAGTCGAAACTAACAAAGTTGCAACTTAAATTTAAGTACCAACTTAAAATTTACTTCTATTCATAGTCGCATTTCAGACTTCTACTAAGTAGTTTCGACTTAGTTTACGATATAGCAAAACGAGTGTGAAAATGTATCGATTTTTCTTTACGATATTTTGGAAAAATTACATTTTTATTAAATAATGTCAAGTTTGATCATCCGTTTATGTAATTTTTATTTTCATTGCATGATTATGCAAAAGAATAAGGTATCATTTTCTTGTTAATTGTGTGAAATAGCCAGAACAACCGCAGTGATGTGAAGTCGATGTTTATCGAAAGCATGCTGTGAAACATACAAATAGTAGATATCTAAATGTTATGCACAAATTTACTTTAAAAGAACTAGCGTGAAACTGACTTCTTATTTGAAAATTTATCTAAATTATTCCAATTATAAAATTGTCATGTAGCTTTATTCGAATTGTAATACGCATTTAATTTCATCTTCCGATTAAAATGGATCGATCTTTGTAAATTTTAATTGGAGATTATTCAATATTATCAAAATCACCCTCTACCAACTTAATTTTTACATATTTCGTCTGTTTTCCCTTAATTTGATAAAATACTTCTTCCTTGTGACGACTTACTTGCAGCTGCAGCCGAAACTAAATTTTAAGTTGGGACTTAGCCAGAAAAGTCGAAACTAAGGCGACTATGAATAGCTTTAGTTGTGACTTAGAATAGTTTCGACTTAGTTGAGTACTAAATATGACTATGAATATGCGTCATATGTTTATGGAACTACATACGAATACTTGGAATTAAAATGCAAATAAACACAAATTAAAATAAAGAAGTTACTTTGGATAAGTACCTTCAAAGAGACACACCTTTTCATATGTACAAATTTTGATATTTTCATGAATTTTTGTTTTTCAAAAACTGTTTTGCGAGAACATAAAATTTTTCCAACTATTAAATTTTATTTACAATTCAGAAGCCCAGAGTTGGTAGCGAAAAGTTTCCGATATTTCATATATCGAAACAAAATATTGTATCGATATCGTATCGCAACTCGTGATATCGATATAATTTAACCGATATGATGAACAATGATATTGATATATTGAATATCGTATCGGTATCGCGCATCCCTAATAGAAGTTAAACAAACAGCAACATTTATCATCAAACAAATAACAAGCTTTTTTAATAAAAATATAAAAGAATAAAGGGATGCTTGTATATATCTCCTTCTAATGAGTATGTTTTTTGACTTTGAAAATTCCATTGCCCAGAAGAGGATTTAAACACGTTTAATTTGATGAGCTACAGCTTCGCATAAAGTTTGGATTGCTACGATTTACATGCACCTGAGCTAAGATGTTTGAATATGAATTAATAAACGCTATTCGTCAATATCCTTGTCTATATGACAAAAACAGTAAAACAACAGAGAAGTCACAGGAAATTATTAGAAGATGCTGGAAAGACGTGGCTCGTGAAACCGGGGAACCGTGTTAGTATACAAATATATATCCACATGTGTATGGATCTGTGTAAATGTACTAAAAGCCAGTTTTTCAGCGCACGGCCGTAGTTTAAACTCAGTTTAGACACCCGATCTGGCTGGTGTAAACTAAGATCAGGCAATCAAATGTCAGCAGCCAGCTGTTCAATTTAAACTGTTCAGCGGTTCAGTTTAAACTGGCACTGAAAAACTGGCCATAAGTGAATTAATAAATTGCTTTATTTTTCCGTCTATTCAGTGGAAAGATGTCAGAACCGTTGGCGATCTCTTCGTGACAGATTCGTTAAAGAGACTAGACACTTTGAAGAAGGAAAGAGAGCAACTTGTTGGCAGTATATGGCCGAAATGGAATTTTTAAGGGACTTTTTAGAGCCGCGGTGTGGTTTTGTTAAATATTGCTAGGGTTTTAAATTAATATTAATTTTATTTAACTTCTTCCAGAAAACGATATGCGTCTGACCCCGCCAAGAAAACTCGCACTGTATCCAAAGCACAGAAAGAAGAGCCCCAGGAAAATATTTATTCGGACCGTAACGGGTCTGAAGAAGAAGAAGCCTATAGTTCTTCGCATAAAAGATCATATGACGATGATATAGATTATCAGCTTGCAGAAGAAGATACTACCGACGGTCCTATGGGACCAAAAATACCTTTTATAGAAGCATTCTTAGAGTCGCCAATAAATGAGCCCCTAATTAGTCAGTCATATCAGAAAGCGACAAGTTCAAGAATGGCTATCCAGAATGCACAGACAAAATTTGATAAATTGGTTGGAACTTTAAATGAATATATTAAAGGGCGTATCAAGGAAAGAGAGGAAACCAATGACGACGATTTCTTTGGATTACTAAAGAAATATCTTGCTAAAATACCCGAAAATGAGCAAGATAAGTTAAAAGCGGATATTTTAATTATGGTATTTAATAAAGCAAGAGAGAGCTAAATATATGTTCGTTTCAATAGTAAAAAAGCTATGTACATAGTTCGTGACTTGGGGTACTTTATTTCGAAACTATAATTGATGGAATTGACTTATTTACGCAATTAAGTTGCAATTTGGCATTTAACCGTGGCTGTGCATATTTGAAATTTCTATCAATTAAGAGTTTAGAAATAAAAGAGACTGATGCGTTGGCTTGATGCATTTCTGAATGCACCTATGACTTTCGGTGCTAAATTATTTGTCTTTTTTTTTAGAAATGAAAGTGGCTTTGTGTGTTTTAAATATGTATATTGTCGGTCCATACGAAGAATGCACTCGGAAGTGAATTCCACAACCTGCCGATATGTACATGCCTTATATGGTATCCGACGGATGCCATTCGCAAGGATCTAAAACGATTTGCATTGTCCCAACAAGCTAGTGTGAAGGATTACATTCGTGCGAATGCCACCCGTTGGGTACATGCCTATTTCGGTTTTGCCCAAATACACTTGCTACAATTATAACATGTTGTCCCTCCTTATTAGGTGCCAAAAGCGTGAGGAACGCAAAAAACCACTTTTTGTGCCCGGTTTCACCAAATCAGTTCTAAACAATGATTTTATGTGTATTTATGTTATATGACTAATAAAATTAGCAAAGAACCTTTAGTGAAAATTTCCATTATTTTATTTTCAAAATTTGCTATCGGATGTAAACAAACAACAGCTGTTATTTCGAATTGACTTCTTGCACATTTCTGGCCGGAAAAAAATCCAAAATTGGAGGGTATTCGCTCCCTATTACCCATTTTTTTTTAGCGTGAGGAACGATTTCTGGACTGTTTTGTGCAGCCGCGGGCTCGTGTGGAACAAACCTATTATCTACGTAATTTGCTACAAGACTAAACGATTTTTCAAATAGATTAAAACACATAAACACATGGAGTAAATTAGCGTCCTCAGTTAATGAAATATCGGAGTTTTCGTATTTCTGAGAATTACCATTATACGGGAAGCGGGTATAATTTTAGTCCGATTTGAATAATTTTCAACAAATTGCTTTTCCGTACCAAGATTATTAAGGGCACCGAGTTTGGTAGAAATTGACAAATCGGTTACCGAGATACACATTTGTGGTCATAAGTGGGCGGCGCCACGCCCATTATCCAAAAATTTATAATATTCTAATTTTCTCTTAAGTGGTTATTGTAATCACCGATTTTAAGGGAATTACCTCCAGTCGTTACTGATTTCGTGTTTCTGTAAATTGCCGTTATGTGGCAGGTGGGCGTGGTCATTTCCCAATTTCAAAGATTTTCAACAGATTTCTTAGCTAGACCCTACTCAAGGCGCGTACCGAGTTTGGTAAGAATTGGTGAATCGGATACTGAGATACAGTATTTCATCATAAGTGAGCGGGGTCACGCCCATTTTCCAAAAATTTCATAATAATATTTTTTACCACAATTCTACTTCACATATCAATCTTCAACATTTTGCATTTAATATTTACTGAAATATCGTAGTTTTTGCATTTTTTGAAAATACCGTTATATGGGAAGTGGGCGTGGTTACAGTCCGATTTCAACCATTTTCAATACTAACCTACCTTGGATAAAGGGCAACATACGACGGATGGACGGACAGATAGACGTGGCTTAATCGATTTTTTTTTCATTCATTATTTCATGTATACATTTTTCCATATCTATATCGATTCGTTTTGGCTGTTACAAACAACCGTTATGCGAACAAAGTTAATATACCCTTATGCACAAGTGCGCTCGGGTATAAAAATCGCATTTCTATGCGACTTTTGTGTACGTCTTTTTCAATTGATAACTACGGTGTCGTTTATTTTTTTTGCATTTTGAGGACAAAAATTAGACGACTCCAGTAATTTTAAATATTAGTTTAAATAAAGCAGCTGTATATCCACAAACATATCTGAGTCGAGTCATACATAGACTCACGGTGGAGAGAATACAGAAGGTGGCGCCGATCGCAACACCGCTAATCGGCTCTCAACTGGGTGAATTATCTGGAGAGGAAGCGCATTTAACAAAAAGCTGAAGGAAACCTGGCAATAAAATATTAGTTGCTATTCCGTACGAGTCAGAAATAGTCAGGGCTCGAATCGTAACGTTCACGGATCGAAAATTACGTGATACCGTCAGTCGTATATGCGATAAAGAGTACGTTCACGTATGTCATAATCCGAAAAATGTGAAAATGAAATAGTCCGAGAACCGAGTACGGGATCGATTTCCAGAAAAACTGACTGATTCTGACTATTTCGGACTAGTCAGGTCTCGTACCGGATCGCAACTACTGTGAACGCTACTTTTCCAATGTAAGTAATACTTACTAAGTATGAGATCGTAATCGAATTTAAAACAATTACAAAATTATATTAGTTACAATCTTTAATAAATCTTTTTTTTAATTTTTTAAATACTTTAGTCACTATATAAAAAATAACATTGGTATCCTTCCATAAAATTTATTTATTTTAGAAATTATTTATTCGTATTTCTGTTACATCTTTATGATTAAATTATTTATATGTATTTCTGTTACCCCTTCATGATTAAATAACATTAAAAACAAAAATCAGTGGCTAGGGTATGGTGTGTTCAGTAGAGATTTGCATAAATAATACCAGTTCATACGTGAAGGATTTCTACATTTCAACTTAACTGATTTTGTTTTGCGTCGTTATACTAAGAAACAAAAACGGTTTCTTAAACATTTCGTTGTTGTTTATCAAAACATGAGTATCAGGAATTCACTATGAATGCTTGCTTGCGTACTAAGTCTCTGAATGTGCCTGCTTTACTTGCTATCAACTCGTGGTAACGTCCTTGCTCTACAACCCTACCATTTTCTAAGACTGCAATTTTATCTGCATTGCGTATCGTGCTTAACCTATGTGCTATTGTTAGTACTGTGCGTCCTTTAGATACTTGCTCGATAGCATTTTGAACCAATTCTTCAGATACCGAATCCAAGGCACTGGTAGCTTCGTCCAGTATTAATATCGCTGGGTTCTGTATGAAGTAAAGTTGTCATTATTGTTTTTTCTGAATTTTTTTTTGTTTACCTTTATAAGCGCTCTTGCTATGGCTACACGTTGCCTTTGACCTCCACTCAACATCAAACCGCGCTGACCTACCAGCGTATTTAGACCATTTGGTAATTGTGAAGAAAATTCGTCAACATGAGCCTTTCTTATGGCATCTTCAAATGTCGCTTCACTAATTCCGGTGCCAGGGTTAAGTCCATAAAGTATGTTGTCGCGTATTGTGCCGGAGAAGAGTATGGGTTCCTATAGAAATTTTTGAAAATTTTAACTTAAAAAAACCGTGCAATTCGATGTATGACCTGATTTACGGCACCAATATAACTTCGCAACCATGTCGGGTTTAATTCTTTCAAGTCAATATTATCCAGCAACACCCGACCTTGTTGCGGATCATAAAGCCGCAGTAACAGTATGGCGATTGTTGTTTTTCCCGATCCACTGCGACCCACAATCGCAGTTGTCTCCCCAGGCAGAAGTGTTAGGTTAAAGTTGTTTAATATTATGCTGTCTGCACGAGCAGGAAAGCAGAATAGTACATTTTCGAATTTAACTTCGCCGCGAGGATGTTCTTTCGGCATTAGACCTGTGTGTAATGGAATGGCATATTGGCGATCTAGTATTTCCCAGACACGCTGCGCCGCACCTACGGCCTTATTCAATTCCGTATAAAAATTGGAGAGTCCATTAATGGAAATCGCTGAGTATGCAGCATATAGTATGAAAGATGTTAGTGCGCCTATACTTAGAGCATCGTTTATAACCAATATGCCGCCGTAATAGAGCACAGAGATTATTATTACATTGCCAGAGAAGCCAGTCTGCCAAAAAGCATATAATATACACATTTCCATATCGAAATGCACTATATAGAAAAAACTTGAGTAACTCACCAACCCAAAAAATATGGAACGTGCTTGCACTTCTTTATAACCAAGGTTTAATGCATCTCTGAGGAGGAGATCATATGCTCTACTCTCTTCCATTTCTCTGCAAAATGCTTTAACAGTTTTAACATTGCCTAAACGCTCCTCAACAGACTTTGATATTTCGGCAAATTTGTCCAAAAGGCTACGCGTAATGTTGCGAACATAGCGCCCGTAAACGATGGCCATGCCAGCTACGCATGGTACAACTAAAGTGCTGACTAGCGCCAAGCTCGGTGAGGTATATATCTACGATTAAAATTTTATATTTTTAAAAAATCTTCTCGAAAGCAAATTCGTACCATCATAGAGGTGCCAGATGTAATCATAACGGTGGAGCGCAGACCATCCGATAAATTTTGGCTTAACGAGTTGCCTATCATGTAGGTGTCGTTAACTAAGCGATTAAGCAGCTCACCAGTACCCTTCGTGTCAAACCAGCCTGTCTCCTGTAATAGCATGCGGCGATAGACTTTTGAGCGCAAATCCTTTACAATGCGCAGCGCTGACAATTAAAAAGTTATAACGTTGTGTCTATAGAATAACAGGCCGATTCTGAACATAAACTCCCTGGGAATTTTCTCTTTTCCCCTTCCTCTTATCATGGATAAAAACTCCCCGAGGATTTTGAACTTTAAATGACGGAGTTGTTCTGTAAAAAAGTGCCAACCAGCTCTTTCGAAGTTCGAATTTCCTCCTCCCNCTATAGAATAACAGGCCGATTCTGAACATAAACTCCCTGGGAATTTTCTCTCTTTTCCCCTTCCTCTTATCATGGATAAAAACTTTAAATGACGGAGTTGTTCTGTAAAAAAGTGCCAAGCAGCTCTTTCGAAGTTCGAATTTCCTCCTCCCAAATTTTCGGGAAAATGCTACTCACTGAGAGTTATTTATTGGAGGATTTCTTACTCGGGTGAAACAAATTCCCGGAGAACAAACTCCCCGGGAATATTAAGAATTGGGCTGTACTATATATAATATGTGTATACATTATATGTTCTTCGAAAAAGCTGTTAAGACACGTTTTTGACAGCTGAACTCCGCCATTTAATATAAAAAATCCTCAGGGAATTTTTAATTCATTATAGGAGGAAAGGGAAAAGAGAGAAAACTCTGGGAGTTTCCGTTCAGAATCGGCCTGATAATTAAAATAAGTTGGCACANTCTCCGCCATTTAATATAAAAAATCCTCAGGGAATTTTTAATTCATTATAGGAGGAAAGGGAAGAGAGAGAAAACTGGGAGTTTCCGTTCAGAATCGGCCTGATAATTAAAATAAGTTGGCACACTTACAAGCACTATTAAATAAGTAAACTCGCAGATAATTTGTCAAGCCACCAATAACAAAGATCCCAAAAAGTACTAAGGAAAAATCCTTCAATTTCTTCATGGTATCCGCATTCGTTTCTTTCTTATCGAATATTATGTCCAATATCTTGCCTAGCGCAAAAGGTACACTCATTGTAATGGCTGAAGAGATTATTAGACAACCCATAGCACCTGCAATATAAATTATTTGCATACTTTTTTTTTTAAACTTTTTATGCTAATTCTTTTTATGCATAATTAACTACCAGCAAGCACCATTTTTTCTGTCTTCGCCAATCCAATAAGCCGTACCACATCCTTTCTATGAAGCTTTACTTTGGTCGTTTTTTCAGTTTTCGGAGCGGCATTTCTGAAATCACTCCGATATCGCGCTATCCGTATATCTCGATTACCACGGACTGTTGCAAAGTTCGTAAGTAGTTGCCCAAAGGTTTGTTTTGATTTCGAGCGATAAGCGTGAACTGTGGAGAAGCCTCTGTAGCTTGGAACGGTCCTTAGTATGCCAACCAGTGTATGCTGCAAAATACTTCGACTGGTTAACCGCGTAAGCGTGCCTCTAAAACAGGTACAATGTATTAACATTTTGTAACAAAGAACATACAATTTATTAAAATGAAAATCCGCGCGCGGTATACATAACG